ATCTTTTAAAATTCATTGTCTGTTATTTTGTGTAAACTTTCTTCACTCTGAGAAAGTATGTACTTGCGTTCAGAGAAATTTACTTGAATTATATCTTTGCGAATTACTTTCTCAATTTTTTCTCATTTCTGTTTCTAGAACTCCTCTTAGTTAGTTGTTGGACTATCTGGATTAATTTTCTAACTTTCATATCCATACTCATCATTTCCTTTATTTTATCTTTTAATTTACTCTCTTGAGATGCTTGTTCAATATCTTCAATACTTCTTTCAAAATTTTTGTTTGATATTATACTTTTCATTTTTAAGAGCATTTTCTAGTTTTCTGAGGTTTTCTGAGCAGATAAGGGAAGAGGCGAGCTCATTTTGTATCGATTTGATTGGGCCATGGAGTGTCCAGATATTTGGTCAAACAGTAGGTATTTCTGAATGATACTGGCTGAGTAGAGCAGACTGCCTTTCCTGATGTGAGTGGGCCTCATCCAATCAGTTGAAGGCCTGCCTAGAACAAAAAGGCTGAGTCTACCCTGAGTAAAGAGAATTCTGCTTGCTTGCTGCCTTAGAACTGAGACATTTGGATTTTTCCTACCTTTGTACTCAAACTGATACCTTGGCTCTTTCGTGGTTTTGAGCCTATTGCCCTTCATACTGGAACTACCTGGTTTTCCTGATTGTTAAGCTTTTTGACTTTGGCCCTACACCATTGGCTCTCCTGGGTCTCCAGCTCTCTGACTCACTCTGCAGGTCTTGGGACTTGTCACCTTTCACTATTATGTGAGCCAGTTTCTTAAAATAAATAAAATATACATCTCCATTATATTAGTTCTGTTTCAATGGAGAATTCTAATACAGAGGCAGAGAGGTACCAGTGAGTAAAACAATATCCCTGCCCTGATTTTTTACATTAAAAGTTTTTATCTTTCTGGTGCTATTAACTGTACTTTCCCTTAATCTCCCTCTCCCCGCCCCCTTAACAATATTGTCTGTTTTTAGTTTTTAGTAATTTTTTTTTTTTACTACCTGTTTCTTTGCAGTCTGTTATTCATATAAGAGTCCGTCCTCTAATGACTGGTGAGCCTTTGTGCTTATATTTAAGTGTTTTGCACAAAAAAAATCTATGTGGTTGTACGTGATCCTGTCTACTGGTGATGAATGGACCTTAGATTTTATCATGGCCTCTCAGTTTTCTCAGAACACTTCTTTAATATTGCTCGGAGTCTCATAGTTCAGTACGTGTACTTTCAAGTTATTTTGTTTTCTACAGTAAGGCTTTTTAAAGTGTTCAGAAGTTTATTTACTTCTGTGGAAAGTAAACTTACAGTCTTTTACCATGGTGAGGATGGCCAACAGTGTGAGGAGAGAAGCTCAGATTCTGTTTATTATACCAGCTTTCATTCATTAGTACTACTTTCATCCCTATCCCTCACCCATCCTCACGTGATCAGTGTCTTCACTCCTTGGCCTTTCTAGGATTCTGCAACAGGGGTTGGCTTGAGGCTTCAAGCTGATTTCCCTCTAGATAGTAGAGAAATTTTTACCGTCTCTCATATACTTTATTATCTTTGTTCTTGTTTTCCTGCTAATTTTAACATGAAGTCACTCATTTTATACCTTTTTTTAAAGAGTAAAAGATAATTTAGTGATTATCTAGCTCAGCAGAATAAAAAATTGATACCACATTTAATGTCAACATTGATGGCTTGACCAAAAAAGGGGAAAAAAAAAGCAACAGGGGGTATATGTAGTCTGTCTTGTCAGTTGGTAGCCTGATTTTATTTGCTTTACAGCATGGTAATATTTGGGAATTATTTTTAAAATTTAGGTAAATTCATGTACTGCATTCAAGAGACTAAAATATGTTGTAGGAGATTATCATACTGAAAACTGTCAAGTTCATTTTAAGGAATTTAGAGTTGTATTAAAGTAGTACAAATTAATATATAGCACATTTATTGGTGCCATTTTTCTCTGTATTTGTTTGTTGTTGCTAGGGAGGGATGGAATTAATTTAGTTAATGAAGTCTTTCCCCACCCCACAACCGAAGTTTAGTGGACTTTTGGAAAATTGGTGTAACTGTTTATTTAATAGATTTCACTAATAGCTACTATCTCTGTTATTATTGTTGTATGACTTAAGAGCATTAGTAAGCTGAGTTTATTTTAGTAAAAATTGACTAGTCAACAATTATGGCCTTAGGAAGTGACAGCCAATTAAATACAGCTTAGAACAGGTATGAAATTATTGACTCAGTTGTGTTTTGAGTCCTTCCTCTCCAAAGTGCTGAAATGTGTTGTAAAATTACTTAGTTGCATTAGTGGTTTGATTTGAGGCTTTTAACGTGTTTTTCATCAATACCTCTGGGAAAAGAATAACCAAGACCTTAAATGTGTGGCACATTTTGCATCACTATATAATTGTAAATACTGTGATGAAATATTGAAATGATCATGAAAGATGATAACCATTAAGCTTTTCTTTCAACTATTAAAACTCACTAAAGGTTATATTGAGCTGTGGTTTCTGAAATTGTTTAGACTAACACCTTCTTTAATAATTGTCTCAGAAGTGGAGAAAAATGCTGTAGGATAGTATGAATCTTTTTAGTTTTGGCAACTTCCTTAAGTATTGTAGATAATCTTTGATATCTTTGAAAATTATGAGATTTCTGTAGCAATACCCAAAGTGTAAGTAAGATCTATATTTTTACTTCATTTCTCATTTTGTCTCATTTTAAAAACATTAGTGAAAAAGTTTTATTTCAGGTGATTAGATAGCTGTTATTATAAATTAACAAATATGAGTTAATAAATGATGCCTGGGAAAACAAGAATCCAATGTATTAGCAGTAAAAAAAAATGTGTTTCTGAGCTTTTGTAAAAAATTGGACTCTTCCTGTTCTATGTGTACCTTCTTGTTTAATTTGTTTTTAATTAAAAAAAAAGATATGTTGTGTGACATACCAAGTTAAGTTGAAGTCATAAAATTTTTAGATGGTTTTTTTATACATATACTAATTTTAACTAGTTTTCTATCACTTAGATCATGCTGTTTAAAATCTTTGTGAAATTTAATTGTATACTTTCTCATTTTACATTATAAGTAAAAGTCCGTTTGTATACATAAATGAAGACAAAATTCAAATGATGTTTACCTGTAGTTAAAATTTGAGTCTCTCCACAGTGATCTGTTTTACCATGTGGAATTTTGAGTTTGTATACTTTATATAATAAAAATACCCACTTGTTGTAATTTTAGATCAGACAAAAAGGATTTGAGGAAAATAATATTAATAAATACTTTTGAAAATAAAATGTATGATCTAGACAATTATATATAATAAGATAACCTCTTGCCTTTCTTCCTAATTTTTTTTCCTAGCAAGAAAGGTAACTATTTTCTTTTTACTGAAGTTAATTTCCCTTTTGAGATTTTCCCTTCAAGTAAGTGATCTAAATGGAAACTCAGTCAGTTTAAGGTCTTGGCTCCCCACACTCTGGTGCTGTATCAGATTTCCAGGCGGCTTGCTGAGGGTGACGCGTCGGGTGTTCCAGATGAGGACTGAGCATGCGCTTCTGTTCCTCGACTAGGGCATCCCTTTAGGTGTCACCGTCTGGTTTGACTCCCTGCTGTCTGTCAGCAGAGGTCACAGCTGTGTTATCCTCATCCTCTCAGAGCCTCAACTACTTGTACATCTTTCTAGGATAATTTTCTGACCCTTCCTAGGACACAGGATACTTCAAGGCTGTTTTAGGCCCATCTGCAAATGTCTGACAGACTTTATATCTAATTTCCCTTCTACTGTATATATTCTGCTAGTATGTTCATACTGATACATTCATGATACAGAACCTATAAGAAAATTATGGCAAATAGCAGTTTGAGTCCTGAAAGCCACCTTGGTTTTTCAAAGCATGAAAGAAAGTAATACCAAATTTGGAATAAAAAGGAGAAAATAGAAGAGATAGAATAAGGCTTTAAAAAAAAAAAGAATCTGTCTGACATGGAGCAGTGCTCGGGGGTGACATAACATGGGTTTGAAGCTCTTTAAGAGCTTTGATACCTTTAAGGCATTATTGAGTAGTGTTTATGGTCGCAATAGTAAGGTTGCAGACATTGTCTTTTGTTTTGAGTTTTATAAGAGAACCAAAATGCATTAGTTGAGGGATATTTATAGATAGAATATAAGGGCTCTTTAGTTGTAAGGAACATAAAGATTTTGTTTGTATGTCTAGTTATGTTAAAAAATAGACAAACACATACATGGATACATTGGCATTTCTCAAATCCAGTTACATTTCAATTCATGTGGCCCGGCCTTATGGGATTAATTCTTATTTTATGTATGTTTTGAAATGAAGGTTAAAAAAATTTGTTTGTATATACTCTATTGGTTGATTTCCTTTGAAGGCTTTTTACTGGATAACTTATTCATAAAGAATATATTAATAGATTTATACCATCCTTTACTAATTCAAAGGTCTAGTGAGCTATAGTTTCCCACTGAAAAATGGTCTAGTCAAATTCACTGATGTTTCTTGTCTTTTTCTCAGTCATTAATCATCGATTTTTGTAGAATGTGTGTTATTTATTAAGTTTATGAAGCTACTTAATTCTGTCTTCCCCTCATTTAGGGTGATGCATCTCTTAAAGAAACAAAAACAAAACCTCTGTCCTTGGTCTGCCTTGTTCTCTTTCTTTCCAACTGTTTCAGTTAAATCAGTTATATGTAATGGTGTAGAACTAAAAGGATAAGATTAAGTATAGATAGGCTCATTTAGTTCATCTAGAATCAAATTGTTGCTGATGTATTTAGCTTACTTCTCAATGTCAACTATTCTTGTGTTCACGGCGCTGCATTGGGTAGGGCCGCGTGTTTAACACAGCTTTTCCATTAAGAGCTCAGGTGCGAAATTGATGTGGGTGATGTTTTTCCTAATTGTTGTTTTAAAGAAATAACCTACTGAGTGAAATTTGTTCAGCTATTTTCTCCTGTTTTTTAGGAGTGGCAGAATTCTATTCAGAAGAATGCTGGCCTTGCTTTTATTGAACTTGTCAATGAAGGAAGGTAATCTATTTTATATTTATTTTATTTATATTTTACTTGAAAATGTTATTGTATTTTTCCATTGGAACTGATATTTTTGGTACTGTATTGTTTTGCAGTTAGTGACATAGTGGAGCTTAGGTATTAATTATAGATATTTCAGTATTTTAATTTCATTGTTCTTTTTTATTGTTGTGCTCTTAATGATAAAATCTGTTCTTTATTTTTCAGTAAGACCGAGTTGTGCAAAAGTAAACTGATGGTTTTATTAGCAGATTTAAGGAAGATTGATACTTTTTTGGACTTTTAGAAAATTCTATTGTATTTGAAAAGCCAATAGACTAATATATCTGTGTTATCTCTCTTGTGTCATGCCTGGTCATAAGGGAAGAAAAATTCAAGGAAAGAAAATTCAGTAGTAGGAAAGAAAATGAAGTACTGAGATATAAAAGAAAGATACAAGGGAGAAAATAAATGTAAGAAAGTGAGAGAATTAAAAGTAAATTGAGGAAATGATGAGTGGACTACTTTGTATCTATTTTGTGGCAGTTGATTTTGGATTACTTGAACTGAAGACTCAAGGTATTGATTAAAATGTGTGATTGGCTGCCACTGGAAACAGCATTCTGAGCAAAATTATTGTTTAAGAATGTTTCTTTATAATGTTCTGACTAGTGTTGGGAGATCAACACTGTCACCATAAAAATTATTTGAACTAGTAACTAGGAATTCAACCTCTGTTTCATTAATGATACATAAAGGGAGAAAAGGATATTGATAACTTTATGTAATCATAAATACTACTAAAATTATTCCACTCAGCAAATAATTATAGGTGCTTACAGACTAGTATTGAGAACAAAAAAATAAATTTTCAGTTATAATGCCATATGCTAATTTCTGTGCTAGAAGTATTTAAGCATAGATTACTAAAGTCGGAATGAGAAAAAAAGAGAAAGACTCCACAATTTAGTATGGTAGAATTAGGCAAAACTTCTCCAGAGAATATGATTCTTGAGATGTATTTTCAAGGATGAGTAGAATTTGTTATGAAGACTTTGAGAAAGTGGGGATTATGGATATATGGGAGGACATGTCTGTGAAAAGCATTCCAAATAGAGGGGATAGAAGATCTGACAACACTGTGATATGGGAAGGTGTGTATGAGTGTGTGTGTGCATGTGTTTGTGTGTGAATTTATGAAGTAGAATTGGGCATCTGGATCATAAGAAGCCTAGTGTGGTATATTTGAACTTTCAGCTGAAGGCAGTCAGAAACCTTGAAAGATTTTAAGAAAGGAATATCATTATGACATTGATTTCTGGAAAGATAACTGGCAGTGATGTTTTGGATGAGTTGAAGGAGAGGAGATCTGATTGAAATCAAGAACAACAGCAAGGCCATTGCAGTGATCTATGTATGAGAAACAGAGCTAAACTGTAGTCTGGAGTCTGGCAAGTGGTAGGAAATCAATAAATATTTCTCAATGAGTGCATGACTAATAATTCAGTCTTACTTTCAGAAAAAATTTCAAAGTGCTTATTCATCAAGAAAAATAAATAGCTCTTTGGCTGAATTTCAACACTGAAGTATTGGATGCTTTTAAAGTTTATATATAGAAAGAGAGTTAGGCAGTGAGCATTGCTGATCAAATGTACTTACTCTACTTAATGCGATACACTGATTAACACTAGTTCTTTTTGAAAAAAAACTTTTGAAAACTTTTTGAAATTTTTGAAAAAAAATATGTGAAAGGTGGTAAGTACTTTGGAAAAAGATAATGGGAAGCAGGTTGAGGGCAGTGGAGATGTTTGAAAGATATATAAAGGTTTGATACGGTCTCTAGTTTAAATAGAGTGGTTAGATTAGAAGTCACAGAAAAGTGACATGTAAGCAAGCATTTGAAGGATTTGAAGGAGTGAACCATAAGGCATATGGGGGAAGAGCATTCCAGTCTTAGGGAACAGGCAGTATACAGATGAAAGCTTTCTTGGTATATTTGAGGAATGAGGCCAGTATAGCAAGAACAAAGTGATCAAAATGGAGAGAAATGGAAAATGATGTCAGAGACATAGGGCAAGATTTTGTGTAGAGCCTTTACCATTCTGTAGGAAATAACAATCCTTGCAGGATTTTGTGTAGATCAGGGAGACAGTTTGCATTATGTATTAAAAAGTTGTTTGGCTGATGCATATAGGAATTTAAGGATGGAAGCAAAAAGATCAATTAGAGAACTATTGAAGTAATCCTAGTTAGACATGATGATGACATGCACTAGGGCAGTAGCAGTAGAAGAGGTGAGCAGTAGCAGTATTATGAATTTATTTTGAAGATAGAGCCAATAGCATTTACTAATGGATTGGATGTGGATTGTGAGAGAAAGCTAGGAGTTAGGTATTACTCTTAAGATTTTTGGCCTGTGTACCTGAAAAGATTATGTTTCTATCAACCAGGATGGGGAAGGCCGTGGATAAAGCAGTTATTGGGGAAGATCAGGTGTTCAGTTTTAGAGATACTGATTTTTTCAGTCTCTAGAAGACATCCAAGTAGTGATGTTAAATAGACAGTGGTGAGTTATTTCTCCAGATTAGAGGTATAAGCTTGAGTGTTACAAGCATATAAGTGGTAGATACTATCTTGAGACTAGAGGACATCCTTAAGGTGATAGGATGACAACTGAGATTTGACCACAGATTCAGTTGTGGTTTCTGACTTGGATAGGAGTAGTTTGGAGAGTGGTGTGGAAACAAGCTTATCTGCAGTGGATTTAGAAAAGAAGAGAATGAGAGAAGAGGAACTAGAGAATGTGTATTAAAAATTCTTTAGAGGAGTGTTGCTACAAAGAGGGAGCAAAAATAAAATGGAGTGGTAGCTTGTGGGGGGAAACAGTCACAGGAATTAGAGTTTTAAAAAATGAGAGCAAAACAACACAGTTTCATGATAATGAGTGAGGAAATGGGTATAGGAGAGAGATAGGTGAGAATTTCTGGACTGATGTTTTTGGGCTGATTAGAGAGTGGATGAATTTATATACAGACTGGGTGGGGAAGAGTTGTTGCCTTTAAAGACAGCATGAATGTATCATTTATGGTAACATGGGAGGAGTCAAACTTTTATGCAGGGAAGTGATTGTAATCATAGACCACAAGACTATAATTATTAAGCTAGGTAAAGAGGAGAGTGAATGTAAAAAAAAATGATAGGAGGGATGACTTGGAGCTCTAAGGAGTGTTACAGTTGTGATAGTAGAATGAGTGAGCTGTAGCCTCGAGAGGTAGCAGTTAGAGAGTGAAATGAGTAGAACCAAGGCCATGTAGTTATTGGAGATGATGACGTCTGGCACATGACCATGCAATAAGTGGCTGAAGTAGGATGGAAGACAAGACCAGAGAAGGAGAGGAGTTAAGGGAACTGACAGATCAGGATCTTGTTCATCTTTGAATCTCTTTTGAAGACTGTTATCACTTACCATGCTTCATCATTGCTGTCTCTATGTGTCCCCAAGTAATTCCCATTTATTTTTAAGTGATTTTTGTTTTTAGATCACTGTTACTTTCTCCAACGCTTCTTATAATAATTCCTGGTGATTTCATCCATATTACAGCATGTATCAGAATTTTGTTCCCTTTTATTGATTAATAGTATTGCATTGTATGGATATATCACATTTTGTTTTGTCCCTTCAGCCATCAGTGATCATTTGGGTTGCTTTCTGTTTTTGGCTATTATAAATAATGCTGCCATGATTATTTGTGTACAAGGTTTTGTGTGGACATTGTGGACATATGTTTTCATTTCTTTTGGGTAAATACCTGAAAGTAGAATTGCTGGGTTCAGTGGGAAGTCTGCATTTAACTTTTTAAAACTGCTAAAAAAAAAATTGGGAAGATCCTACAAATAGAGTAAAACCCTAGACCCTTGGTAGTGCTTGGTGGTGTTTTTCTTGCATGGAGCTCTTTGAACTTCTAGGATGTGTAGAATTAGCTTTTCATAAAAATTTTCAGTCATTATTTCTGCATAAACTTTTTCTGTGCTTGTTTATCTTGACTCTTCTTTTGGACTCCCATTACACATAAGTTGGTAGTTTGATATTATCTTGTCATCTTCAGTCTTTTTCTCTTCATTCTTCAGTTGATAAATTCTGTTGCTATATCTGCAAGTTCACTGATTTCATTTTATCTTCTGCCATCTCAGATTTGCTGGTGAGTCCACTTGGAAGTTGTTTTTTGGTTTTTGGCTTTGTTGATTATTTTTTAACAGAATTTCCATTTGGTTCTTTTTAACAGATTATGATTATTTATATTCACTGTGTAGTTATTGTCATTACATTTGGACTTCGTAGCCTTTGACTAATAAATACCTCCCACTTTACCTCTCACAGCCCTTGATTACCACATTATTCTCTCTGCTTCTAAAAGTTTTGACTATTTTAGCTCCCATATATAAGTAGCATCATAGAGTATCTGTCCTATGTTTGACTTATTTCACTTAATGTAATGTTCTCCAGGTTTATCTGAATTGCTGCATGGAAGCAACCATAATATCCATAGACAGCTGAATAGATAAAGGAACTGTGGTATATACATATAATGGATTTTTAAAAAAATGACCATTTAATATAGAAATTTTAGATTCCAGGTTTTCTACTTTATATCTATGAGTTTTTGTTAATTGCTTTTACTTGTTGATTTTTTTTAAAACATATTTTCTTGTTGATTTTTTCTTTTTTGGGGGGGTTATGTTTTCTTCTCTATTCCTTTTGTTTTTTCATTAAGACTATTTTTTTCTTAAGAATAGTTTTAGATTCACAGCAAAATTGAGGGGAAGTTACAGAAATTTTTCACATATGAAAATATGTCCCTGCCCTCACACATGTGTAGCCTCCCCTGTTGTCAGCATAACCACCAGAGAGGTGTATTTGTTAAAACTGATGAACCTGTGTTGATGTATCATAATCACTCAAAGTCCTAGTTTACATTATGGCTCACTCTTGATGTACATTCTGTGGGTTTAGAAAAATG